AACCACACTTTTTTCTGTCTGTTAACAAATCAAAGGGATCTGTCCTCAAAACCTCCTTTGAAAGGTGAGCACTTATTTACTGAAGCAAAGTGCTCAGTTACACCCCCTGCACAAGAGAACTGCTGTTCAAAACAAATGGCAACATTGCACCAGCAGTTTCTTGAATATTTTATGAAGGGCTTTTAGAACATTGTCATTTGTCACTTCTTCTTGCCTGCAAGGCGATAACAGCAGTGGGCCTTTTTGTATCAGTAGCAATCACCAGCTGGAACCAGAGTTTATGGAGAGAAAGGAACTGAGATAAAGGAGCTGCCTGATATGGGCATGGCATGAGTTCTCTTCAGTCATACTTTAAATTATGTAGAGACCACATGCACTGAGAGAGTTGTGCTACCCTGCCTCTCTATCATTTATTTAATCATCAGAACATAACTGTCTGAATAGGATGTTGTATCAAGTAGCCTCTGCAAGGCTGTGTTTTGGCTCATCTCTAGAGGCTGCCTAGGTAGACCAGAATTTCTCTTTCTTGAAACAGTTGTATTTCCCTGATTAAAGAGCTGATAGAGAGAGTGGAGCTGGCACATTCCCCTCAATCTGTATAGGCACTTTGACCTATGCCTGAATAGTATTATACATAGCTTTGGCCATGGGAGTGGAGGGGGTTATAGGGTTTAAAGCATGTTACTTGGGAACGTTTGTGTGATAGGCAATGAAGAAAAAAACAGATCTATACCTCTGAAAGTTTCCTGCTTACTACCAAGATTTTGGATCTCTTGTTCACTCAAACCAATGGGGAACTGATGGTTCTTGTGGGTTTTTCAGGCTCTTTGACCGTGTTCTTTCAGCCAAAGAGCCTGAAAACCCCACAACAACCATCAGATCCCAGCCGTGAAGCCTTTGAGAATACAATGTGGAACTATTAACATCAAAACATGGCACTACAAAGGGGTGCATTTCCCAATGAAAATTATCTCCTTGAAGTTGTTGTCTCATGTCACATGATCCTGACTAATCCAAAATACTTTGTACACACCCATGAATGGGGACAGTGCTTCCAGCTTAGAGACTGCCATTCACAGACAGCGTGATTCCTGTTTCTCTCTTTTGGAATTCAATGGCTGGGCTATAAGACTTCCAGCATCTGATCTGATCCAAGGAGTGCAAGTCTAAAAGCCAAGCATTCCAAAAAAAATCTACAAGGCTGGTTCTGTAGTCTACATCCAGTGGAAATTTAGCAGTCCATCAAGTGCAGTATAATATCTTACATTAGCCCTACACACTCCCAGTGGATCAAAGTTAAATTTTCTGAAAGGAAGTCACATTAGAATCCACAATTAGAAATGAAACATACTTTTTATGTGCATGGAAGGATGCATATGTGAAACTCTTTCCCTCATATTCAGCAAAAAATACACTCTCCTCCAGGTTAATGTGATACACTTCATTACCAGAGCATCTGCCATACATTTTCTGCCACTGTTCTGGTGACTGTTGGCCCTCCCTGAAATACAAACAGGGAAAAAAAAGTGAACAGAAACATGCAGATAAATGGAAGATATTAATAAGGCCTTCATCTCCATTCTTGTTCATCACATGGTAGTGATAATAACCAGCAACAGTGTCAAAGATTTGCCAAAGTTCATGGTCTGCTTCTGTCCATAGTCAAGTGTGGAAATCCTAAAATGGCATTCCTCACCTCCAGCCCACTTTTACAAGCCATTTTTGTTGTTGTTTTTTGTTCTTCTTTATCTGCTGCTTAAACTTTCACCACTATAACACATTGTCCTATTTCAGAAACCTTTTATGGTGGAAATCCACAAGGGATGGGAGTGTTTGGGAGAATCATTTTGTAACATGATACTTATAAGAGGGGAAAAGTATTGAGGTAAGAAATAAATATTAAATCTCTTCAAACACGACAAACAACAGTTCTCGGTCCTATGCTAATTAGCACCTTTGTATTAAAAGAAACAGCTACATTTTTATGGGCTTAGAATTCCACCTGCAGTTGGCTGAGCACATTAATGCTAATAGAGCTACACTCCCCCCACCCCACCCCACCGACATACTTGGTTGGCAGGCAGGGATGTTTTCCATTTTGTCTCGTTCAGCAGGTGCCAGCAAATTGAGGACGATTAGTATTCTGGCATTTGTCTGTCTTGATGTGTTGTGATGTTTTGTCAGTTTAGAGGGAGTGTACTTAAATGCCATTCACCAGGCTAAAAAAGCCTGTTAGGTAAATGTCAGTGGTTTTTTCATACCCGCAATAACCACTTTTCGTTGGTAACTTTCCCGACTCAGACATAGGGTACAGAAATGTAGCCACACGGATACTTTCTATGAATTAACTTTTTTTTTCTGGCAGGCTGCTTCCTCTGCATATTAAGGTACAGAACTAGTAGCAATCTATCTGATACAACTTTTCCCATTACTGAATCTCTATGCAGGAAAGAGGTGCAACTGTTGATATCTTTCCCTGCCACATAACTTTTAAAGGTCCTTGAATCTTCTGGGGAAAAAGAGAAAAGATACACACTCACAAGCCTATGTTTGCAGAAAGAAGGGGACGGGGCAATAGGCCTCATATTCAGTTAAGCATTTAAGGTGACTCCACCAGTCTTTTCTTCACTGAAGCCCATCCTCCGTACCGTTTGCTTCACTTTTTTTTTTAAAAAAATCAGTGTTTATGGAAGTCACATTAGGGGCTCACAGGAAGTGTAATATTAGAAATTGTTATTAAGTTATTGGGTGCCTGTTAAATGCAGAATACTTATCCTCCTGGAGGAAATCCTTGGTTCAGGGATTTGTGATTCCTCAGATTTGGCCTCTGAGGTAATTTTTGAGGGTCCTCAAGATTTGTGATCCCTCAGGGTTGTCCCAATTTGTAAAGCGCATAATGACTCCATTATGTGGAAAGTATTTCAACCTCATTAATATAAAACATTGCTTTCAGAGAGGTTTTCAGTATATTCTATTGTATTCCAGCATATTTATATTTGCCAGCATGGATCCCTTTCTTGGAAGAAAAACAAGGTATAAAATAATTATGAATAAAAATGTAACTTTTCATCCCAAACTAGAGACAGGACAATTTTAATATAAATGACTGAAATAAAAGATGGTAACATAGAATACAGTAAATACACTGTTCTCATGGAGCACATATGTACGCAGAGTATCCCAGAAACTGCATACCAACATAGAAACAGCTATGCTGTGATATTTCTATAAAGGTGCAAGGGAGGAACATGCAAGGAAGAGTGGCCTAATACACTGGTTCTTAACCTTGGGTTACTCAGGAGTTTTGGACTGCAACTCCCAGAAGCCTTCACCACCAGCTGTCTTGACTAGGGTTTCTGGGAGTTGCAGTTCAAAAGTATCCGAGTAACAAAGGTTAAGAACCACTGGCCTAATATTTCACTCCAAGGAAGAACACAGTTTAAAATATAAAAATGGTGGGCAATCATCTAAATAGGTTGCTATTACAGTATTTGTAATGACCAAAGGAAAGCAATTCTAACCCACTTGGCAAGTGTTTATTCCATCTATTAAGAGTATTATGGTTGTTGTGGGTTTTTTGGGCTCTTTGGCCGTGTTCTGAAGGTTGTTCTTCCTTCAGTATTATACTTACTGTCCTCTTGAGGTATGAACTAACAATGTGATGAGTGTGGATGTAGCTGGACAAATGCAGTTCAAAGCTAACATTGCATACTTGAATTCTTCCTCACATACGACGTGATCTGCAATAAAAATACAACAATTTTATTTAACCCACAAATGGCTCAACTGACAGTCTTAAACAGCTGTGGGTCTGATGGCAATTATATATATTTTTTAATTGTATTTTAATTGTACATATCTTTATTGTATTTTAAATGCTGTAAGCCACCCAGAGACCTTTGGGTAGTGTGGGCGGCATATTAAATAAATAAATAAACAAACAAACAAACAAACAACAACAAAAAGTGCCTTTCAGGTAGTTCTTGCGGGGCTTCAAAATACCTTGTCAAGTTTGAACTGAAATTTGATACAAGCTTTCTCCACAGGTTCTCTTAAAAGAAAGTGGGTGCAATGGGGGGGGGGAGAAATAGAGATATTCTACAATGTTGCTATTGCACCTTTGTTTTGGTGTTTATATTGGGTGACAACTGGATAAATAAATCTCTTGGTGGTGCTGTCCCATTTGTAAAATGCTTTTGGCAAGGAGAATTGCCAGGTGCCTACTGAGATGTCTTTTTAGTGCCTAGCCAAGACTTCACATATTTCCTCCATGCTTTAAAATGCTGCTTTCATCTGGTATTTTTTTCTGTTTTTTTCCTGTTACTTATGATCAGTATTTTATTTCATTTTTAACTTGAAAGGGCCCTGAAATATTTCAGGTTCTGTTAATGGTGATGACATACATTTTAAAAAACCACAGAAAATCTTCAAATGAATGTATGATTTAAATGTATGCAGCAGTTTAATGTCTTGCATATTAGTTAGCTTAGAATCCATAACAGATAATGCCATCCACAAATGTGATGCTCATCATGGTGAATGATCTTTAGGATTCTATTACCCCTCCTAATCTAAGAACATAAAACACCTGTGCTGTATCAGGCCAAACATTTTATCTAATCTAGCATCCTGTATGTTCACTGGTTGACCAGATGGCCCAGTAAGAAGCTCACAAGACGAACACAAGGACAACAAATGTATCCTGTTTTTCTTCTCAAGCAATTGTTATTCACAGCCATATTCCCACTGATAATAGGATCAACATATACACATCAACTCTGGTATCTTGTGACAGCCCAATTTTCCTTTATAATCCTTCTAGTTGTCTTTTAAAGCTAAGTTGACAGCCATCACTGCATCTTGTGGAAGCACATTCCACTGTTTAAACTATGCAGTGTGTGAAGAGGCATTTCCTTATACCTGCCCACCATATAGGCTCACTCTCTGATCTGGAGTCCTAGTATAATGAGAGACGGGTTAAAACGTGTATGTATATATTTTCTTCACACCATGCTTGATTGCATGTACCTCTTACATACTCCTTGCCAGTTGTGCTGATCCCTTGATTGTTTTGGTTGCCATTTTCTGCATCTTTTCTAGGTTTACAATATCCTTTTTCAGATGTGGTTGCCAGATCTGAATTTTTTGTTCCAAGTACGATGACATTACAGAATTGTATAAAGACATTGTGATATTCACAGTTTTATTTTATTTTTTAAAAAACCCATATCTTAATAATTTGCAGTCTTTCATTGTAGCCATGTATCAAGTGGAAATTATGATCACACCGTCCTTCACAGGGCTGTTGAACATGTGATCGCTTTCATTGATCGCAGGAAGACAGGGTTGGGCAAAGTGTTTCACATAATTTTTTTCCAATATTGAGGGTGGCTGAATGAAACCTATCTTAAATAAAATGGTAAAATCCTATAAATACTAAGTTGATCTGTATGGTCTGTTAAATATTATGACAATGGAAACAACACTAATAGCACCTAATATAGCCTGCATGTTTTTAAATCTGAAACCTTTCTTTTGTCTCATTTGCAACCTAAGAAGTTAAGCAGCCCCACAAACCTCATGCAGCAGGATAATCACCCCAACATTGAATGAATTGTGGTATATTTCTGACTTCCATCAGAATTCCAATGTATTAAGGGTGACAATCATGGTTAGAGTTTGGGTAAGTGGAAGAGTGCATACTACTTGTGACTCCTCAAGATGCCTAGAATCCAAATATCCTCTCTGAAAAGGCTGGCTATTATTTCTGCTTCCCAGCATTTTTATTTGTTGGAAAAGAGCAAGTGGTTGAATCTTTGGGATATAGCTTTCATGTTTTCAGGATTCTGTTTAGATTCTTCTAGAAAATTCTTAGGTACTAAAATGTCCCATCTTGATTCATGAAGCTTAAGTATACATCTCTTGAAACATCCCAGTGGCTCTTATTTTCACCAGAGAAATTAGATTACTCCCAGTTCTAGCAGTCTTAGGTGTTTACAGTGATGCTTTATCTCATAGAATTCACTTGAACAAATACAAACATGGCTGCACAATGGATATGGAGAGAAACTACCTTTTAACCTCTGAAACAAAGCTGAATAAATGCAAATATGCTCCAACTGCAACTACAGTAAATTTTTGCCTCTGAAATGCAGCTACTGTTTCTCCTCAAAATCATCTCATTCAGCAGGTAACGCCATTTAATCTTCTCTGTACAACATCATAAAAAGGCAGTTTTAAAGTCTTATCATAACCAGTAAGAGCTTCCTTTGGTCATTATTATTTTCATTTTCTACCTTTGGAACAATCTTCCAGCTGTATCCCTAAATTGCTTTTTTACAAGTCTGGCTTTTCTCAGTAGGGTTATCTCATTTTCACATTCCCAGAAGTATTGATTTCCACTAACTTAATCTACATCTCAACTTGAGAGGAAAACCTAATCCAGTCACTGTTGGGCTCCGAAGTCTCATTTCTTTCTTTCTTTCTTTTTATTCATAGATCATAAATACTTTATTTCAAAACTGTGCTTTGGCTGAGACAGATGAAATCCTCTTTGGCCTTTCTTTAAAAAGAAATAGTATGATAGTTGTTAGACAGATCTAATAATACTATTCAGATTCTCAGTCTCTCATACTATGTGTGTTGTAAATACATACACAAGGAACTTAAAATGCCTATTCCATTTTTTATATTGTATTAAACATTTGCAGGTAATATTTAAGTCCTCTAATGGCACTTATTTGCTTTCACATACCTATTTTGATATGTTTTTGATTGTTATGGTGCACTTTAGTCCCATCATGTTCAACAGGGCATTTTATCTGATAAATATGGACAACAATAGAGCCATTTGTTTAAATCTAACTGCTAGTCCTTACTATCATTGAGCCACTTGGTAATTTTACGTAGACATTAATTTACTATTCAGCTGTCAATTAAATAGGCTTACTTTGTCTGGATAAATAACTCCACCTATATTTTCTTCAGCTATCTTTAAGCTCTAGTTCCTGCTACACTGCTTCTGCATATGTACTATGTGCTATCAACCCCCAGAATATTTTTCAGTATCTATTCTGTAATAGCACAATGAGGAACTGAATTCAAGTGACAATGAAGTTCTTAGAATGTGCATATTGTTCACTTATTATTTCTGCACGTCAAGATGGGAAAACTATGGCTTTCTAGCTGTGGATAGACTACATTTTCCATTACCATAGACCATTAGCTATATGAGGTGGGATGATGAGAGTTGAATAACAGTATCTGGAGAGCCACAGATTCCTCATTCACTTGCAGGTGATGTATCTATGAGAAAATGTTATATTATATGGAAATAATTCATTGTCCTTAAGAATATATCTGACGTTAAAATATAAAACTTAGTGCCAAGTAACACATGCAACTGAGTAGCTCGGCCAATGTTAATTAAATGAGAAGAGTATATTCCTTCTCTAGCTTTTGAACTCTGGTGATTCATTTAAATCATCTCTCAATGCTGGACAGTCCTCCTCCCAAGGGAGAGATCAGCAATGAAGTCATCACTGAATTGGGAGTTCTGCCAGAGCATAAGCAACTAGAATATAAGCAAACAGGAGATATGATGGTGGCTTTTTAAACATGTTTCTGCAGAGGACCCATTTTCCCATCCCATTAAACAACATGAAAAATAATACCTGACTGACATAGGTTGGAGGTGCAATTCTGGGGTCCTAGCACACTTGAAGGGCTTTGGATTTACTGGATCCAAAGCCGTCCCCAAATCACCCTTAGAATTCTCTTATCATGGGATATTCTGATTGTGACTAGAAGCAGGAATGCCACCAGTAATAAATAGCCTTATGCCCATGGAGCTTTCACCACATACAGTGGGGTCTTGACTTGAGAACTTATTCCGTATTGGAAGGCGGTTCTCAAGTCAAAAAGTCTGTAGGTCAAGTCTCCATTGACCTACAGTGCATTGAAAACTGATTAATCCCGTAACAGGCTGTTTTTGTTCCATTTTGGTTTTTTTCTGGTCTGTAAGTCAAATCTCAGTCTGCAAGTCAAACCTAAATTTTGCGGCCAGAGAAGTCTGTAACTCAAAAAGTCTGTAAGTCAAGCCATCTGTAAGTCAAGGGTCCACTGTACAATGGTGGCCTCTGGGAAGGTGCATCCTGCCCTCCTGATGGGGTTGCTCTCTGTCCAAGGAGGATGATCTCTAAAGAGCGAAACACTCCCAATCCAGTAAATCTAGTCAATATGATTGCAGTAATATAGCCAGTTAGTAAATAAGTGCATTTGTGAAGCAGCCTTTGACATCACCACCACGACCGCCGTGCTGGGTGCCGATGCTTTGGAAGCCTGGAAAGCCAGCACCCAATGTGGCGGTTATTGCTCTCTGTCCAAGGAGGATGATCTCTAAAGAGCGAAACACTCCCAATCCAGTAAATCTAGTCAATATGATTGCAGTAATATAGCCAGTTAGTAAATAAGTGCATTTGTGAAGCAGCCTTTGACATCACCACCACGACCGCCGTGCTGGGTGCCGATGCTTTGGAAGCCTGGAAAGCCAGCACCCAATGTGGCGGTTAGGGCAGCTTTGGAAGCCCAGGAAGCCGGCACCTGGTGCAGAGGTCAGGGTGGCTTTCGGCTTCCTGGGCTTCCAAAGCTGCCCCTGCTACCCTCTGCCTCCCGTCCCCTCTTCCTCCTGCAGTGGCGGAGGCAACGGGGATGGGAGGCAGAGTGCAGCGGGAATGGGAGG